TATATTTGTGCTGCTAGACACATGTGGAATGCAGTTAGCGTCATGTCAAGGGCTGGTACTGTCCATCTCTTCATACTTGAGACTCTTTCTTGGATGTCTCCCACTGTGATGGTTACTGGATCCTGTTCAGGGAGATTGATATGGTCTGCTCTTAGATCCACTAGCCATTGAACATTGTTGTTATAAGTTGAGTCTTCTCCCATATGGTCTTCTAGTATTGCTCAGTCTCCAACTTTGGTGGGGCTGCTCTCAAATTGTTTTCCTGCCATTGACACTACACATCAGTGGAGAACAGTTGGTTTATTCTCCTGGCTTCCAACTTTCTCATATACCTCTTCAAATGGGTAGCTGTGAGTCTTTGCTTAGCAGTTCCCAAGGCCTCGGGTATGGACAGCTTGCTGTGCTTCTTAGTCACCCATTTCTTAATCACAACTTTCTGCCACTAACTTCTGTGCTATCTTGATTTTGTCTGTTCAAGTTGTAGCCAAGCATCTCATCATCCCCACCCAATCTAGGAGGGTGGGGATGATGACGACCTGACGTCCTGGCATCCCGTTGCCGTAGCACTTGTGTTGTACCTCATCAATCTCTAAGGAACACTAAACTACCAGTTGTTTTGCCATTGGTCCAAATGTTGGGTGTCAAAGAATGGGTGTCCATAGGATCCACATCCTCTTCATGTAACCCTTTGAGCTGGAATTACTTTCCATTCCAACAGGTCCCCATTCTCATCCCTTGTTCACTTATGGATTCTTGTTCCACTTCTCGTCAATGTATCCTAGTTCCTCTGCACCTGACACAGACCTTGTTAATCCAGGTGAAATCTGACATAGGATGTCTTCAGTGCAGTTTCTACATGTTTCCTCTTACTATTCAAATCGACATCCCTCCTAAAATCCTTTCTGTGAAACCCATCATACTTAACATTTAGTATTTTCTGGGTCTTAATAAGTGCTCTGAGGTCATCCTTCATATTGCCCAAGGACATCACATAATGACAGTGGAATGGTCAGGTTATATTTCCTCATCTCGCTCATCACCAGCTCCGGAGCTAACTCATCTCTCAGCCCAGTTGTCTCCTCTGTAGCTCGTCAATGATAACAAGTGCTGTTCCATGTAGTATCACTGACATGCTCAGTACCGTAATTTAGTCTTGTGTGTAAACACTGGACTCTAAAATAACAAAAAAATGAAAATCCCAGGAGTAAAAAAGAAGTGACAAATAACAAAACAACAAAGCATGAAAGAGCTACTGTAACTGCTGTGACTCAGCAAGGCAATTTAGTGGTTAACGAAAGCACTCTCATAGGTATTGAAAGTTTGCAAAGATGCAAACTTACAAAGAAAATAGTTAGCAGTTAGGGGTTAGATGTCCCAGTTATTAGTGAATGGATTAGAGCTATATTTTAAAACAATCTACTCAAATAATCTTAGAAGTTATTGTGAAGGCTGAAGTCAACTCTTGTACTGTTTTAGAGTAACAAAGTGAGCCGATTTTGCCAAACATAATTCTGGAGCCAATATATAAAAACAATGACAGTTTCCTCCTGTTTGCAAGGGGTAATCGTCTTACTTGAGAGTCTCTAGTGCACAGTCAGAATCCTTCAGTCCAGCAGAGAGTAGCGTCACGCCTAAATCACGCAGATCGTTGTTACTCATGTCCAGCATTCTCAGACTTAACACCTGGGAGCTGAGTACTAACGACAATTGGTGGCAGCATTTCTCTGTAAGGCCAGTTTGATTCAACCTGATGAAAAAAAAAAATTCTTGTAGCCTTAGTTTATCTTTTTATAATCAAGGTAAGTATAAATAGTGCAACAGAGCACTACATAGATATTTCACAATGTGATCTGACCTGAGCGTCTGTAGGTTACAGTGATGATGAACCATTCCAGCAGAGAGTAGACTCACTCCTGAATCCTTCAGGTCATTGTTACTCAGGTCCAGGTCTCTCAGACTGGAGAACTGGGAGTTGAGAAATAGTGAGAAGTCCTGGCAGCATTTTGCTGTGAGATTGGTTTGATTCA